GAGGTCTGAAGCCCTTCCATTTCTCGCCAAGAAACCTCAAAGTAGTCTTTTCCCTGTACTTTTCTCTGCTTCACAATAGCAAATACAGGACAAGGAACTGGCATCTGCAAGCAAAACACTTTCTTTAAAAAATGCAGAAACAAATGACTAACTTACACAGAAAGTGGAAGAAAGAGATACCTTGTCCAAGGGAATTCTTACTCCCAATTTTGATGATGTGGAACGTAGGTTAGCAAACCGTCTTAGATCTCTCTCCGCAATCTTAGGAAGGATATATTCATCTGCAAATAATAATGAGATGTAACTATGAATGGACACCCAGCAGTCATGCTAAAGGGACTCGTCTATTTGCTACAAGTAGTGAGCAATAGGGAACTAAAGGGTTTTTTGTGTGTATATATCCCTAAATCATCTATATTTGTAAATCTACCCTCCAAATCTTAGTATTTGCAAAACTACCCTCCAATTCATTAACATTGGAAAAAATATTCCTAGATCTAACATTGCTACTTCTCAAACGGTTTGGGGATTAAATCAAGGTGATTTGGTAAAGTAAAACAGTTAAAAAAAACCTAAACTGTTGGATAAGTAACAACATTATATCTGGGGGGTGCTTTCTTTAATGTTGATAAATTGGGGGTAGTTTTGAAAATACTGAGATATGCAGGGTAATTTTGCAAATATTGATGATTTAAGGAGTAAATATACCAAAAGAACCCGGAACTTTAAAATCTGCTTCATGAAGTATACGAGAGGCACACGTACCAAAGTGATATGTGTTGATTACCTGTTTTATCAGGGCTCCAATCAAAAAATCGAGTACATATCTGTTGAAGTTGTGTTCTTATAAATGGATGTTGAGTGCATGCTCTGTAAGGATCAAGGAATTCATAGCAAAGCATCAGGATCAATTCGTCTGAAGACACTCCTAAAGCTCGAGTCATAGTATGCGAAAGGAATTAGCAAATGTTTGTAGAGAGAACATATAACTTGCATATCTTGTTTACTTTATAATTAGAGGTGCCAAAGTACTCAACCCCAGTACCAATTTATATGCAAGTATTTACCTCTGTACAGAGTCTGAGTCAGGTGAATGACATTTTGGCTTCAAAAATGCATCAATTACTTTCAAAAACTGGTCATCTGGTCCTTTATTTTTCCCATCTGCTGCAGAAACAAACTAGCATATGTCAGCAGCCCATTTTCATTTCTTACAACAAATTAGTAATGCTATATATGATGCACAATTAGATCTAGAATAATTATTTTCCTGCTATCTTGTAAACAAATGTCAAAAAAAAAGTGCACAAGGATATAGTATAGTTGGTGTTAAACTGTTTACTGATAATGTAATGCTCCGTTCCTATTATTTATAGAAATAGCATCCATTCAAGTGAAGGAACAAATCTCTGTACAGGTATCAAATATGTGACCAACTAATATCAAGTAAGCAACAAAATTATGTGCGCGTAAAATAATTATACAGTTGGACCCATAAAATTGCTTTGCAAGTACTTTCCACTGGAATGCATGCCATTAGAAATATCCAAATACACAAAAGAACCAGCAAACATAACAGATCCAAAAGTTTCACCACTAGAAAAGGTAACCTATAGAGCACGAAGCCACATCTAAGAGACTAAAAGAAACTTTTGATGCTGGCATGAATTTCCTCGCTATCGAAACTATAGAGAAAACATATATGCTAGACGATATTTCCTTAGTCTGTTCACAGGTTAAAGAAACCTAATTTTTAACATACAATTTAAGCTCATACAACAGAGGAGGAAAAGAGGCAATCTGATCAATTGAAGTAGTAATGATAGGAAAATAAAGTCACTCTGATATTCATCTTTACCTATGTATTTGAAATCGACTTTCTTATAAACAGAGAGACGGCCTGAATACAAACCTTAACTCCAATGATTATATGGCATCAACTTAGGTTTAATTTAGCATGATAACTAATCAGAATAGCTGTCTTTTAGCTCACCATCACTGCACAGAATATAGCAGTGGTCATTCTCTTTATTTGCATCATAATGGAGATCCTTTGCAGACTTTGTTGTCACTTTACACTTCCTTGCAAATGCTAACCCCTCAGATTGAATCCTAGGCAGGACCTTGTCATCCCCTATCGATTTAACAAGCCGACATGCTGTTTCCTGCAACATTCAGTTCACAATTGTACAATGTTAGCTTAAGAAGTATCCAGAAACATGAACCCACTGAAAATTATTATTATAAAAAAAAGAGCTCATGATCAAGCGAAAATGTTACTGAATAAGGTTACGATGAAAGATAGTAGAACTGCTAGAAAGTAACAAAACTTGTTTACTTACTGGCCCAAAACCACGAACCCCTTGGGAGTAATCACTGCCAAGAAGAACGGCCAAAGAAATCTGAAGAACAGCAGTTATGAAACATGTTACATGCCAAACTTCAGTATATTTACAAAATACCATATCCATACAATAATATCTAAGGAAAGGCTTCGTAGAGGATTAGCTTTATATACTAACAAAATAATTCAAATTTATAGATACCACTATGAACAAGGGCAGCTCTGTGCTGATATTGTAATCCACACTTAACGGAAATAATGCCAAACAGCTAGTATACTTATAGAAAGCTCTTGGAAGTGAAGCTATTAAACATAGACTATGTAGTTTCTCAAGCTTTAGTAGTTACAAGAGAATTTTGAAAATCTGAACCCATCACTCCTTCCACATACAGATAGCTGAATCCTCCCTAAGCGAAAGTAATTACTATTATAGAATTAAACAATATAAAGGATGCTGTCCTTTAGTTATG